TTCTCAAGCAGCAAAATGGGTCCCACTCCCCCTGCTCCTAGTTGTTCTTCAACATATCTGAAGTTGGGGAAGGCTGCTTTAAAACAAACACCTGGAAGCCTAGTCATGTTGGAGACTGATTTTTAAAAGAACATATTGTTCTAACGTATTTTGCTCACATTCATGTTGCGTCTCACACTCGGGGAATGAAATTGAGAAAAATGTAGGAAGGAAACGGTCCCAATGCACTTCTGTGGTTAAGAAGTGCCGCGGTGTCGTGCCAAGGGGGGGTTGTGATGCCTTGATGGTGGTTCTTTCAAAACACTTCAGTTCCAAAGAAGATGCTTCCATTGTACTCTGCGGAGTTGTGATGCCGTGGAATAAAGGACAATCTTTCAAGATGAAGCATCCTGTTTCAGGAAACCCCCGCAAAACATTCACTTAAGCATCCTTGTAAACAGAGACATTGCTTAGACTGAGAAAATGAAGAAGCCTGCTACTTTTAACAGAATTCTTTAAAGGCGAACCTAGTTGTTTCTTAGCAACCATGCTCTGCTTTTAATACAACCTTGTGCACTCTCTCTCTCTCTCATTCTCTCTCTCTCTCTCTGTGTGTGTGTGTGTGTGTGTGTACATGTGCAAAAAAAAAAGAGCAGCATTGTGGCATTATTTTAATAATTTCTATTTTGCACTGTTATATTCCTAGGGTGATACTGTAACAGAACTTAGAAACTGAATTTGTATGTTCCTATTCCCCCCTCTTTTTTCTTTAAAATCTGAGTGCTGTAAAGTAGATATTTTGCTCAGTGATTTTGTGTCTGAGCAAAAAGATAATGTAGCCAAAGCAAAATACGTATCATAATTCTGAATGCAGATGAACTGAATCTATAAGATATGTGATATCACACGAAAACATCTGCTCTCTTGAAATATAGAAGATTCATGGGAGAACTGCCACAAGAATAGATGGTGTATGAAATTTCAACATGGCCAGACAAAAACCATTTTTTAATTTAACTAGTACTCCAAACATTAGCCCAACTTGCGCTGGAAGTCCTGCACCTTTGACTAACCTTCAAATATACTGATTCCATGTCTCGAAGGCAGGCAGCATTTGAATCCATTAGGAAATTCAGTTTTCTCAGCAAAACAGTTTTCTTTACATTCAACTAATTTAGTAATTAAATCCAAGCAAGAACATATGATACTGGACAAAGGATGCATATACAATAAATCAACACTTTCAAAGATACATGTGTCCACCAACGCATCTAGGTTGCCCCTTATAGTAAATGTTCAGGGATGTATTTAAGATTTTTAAGAACTCCATGTGCAATTAACGACAACGACAGATTTATAAATGAAAAGGCCACACAGTGTTCATCCTCAATATCTCAACATGCCAGAGTCACAAGGAAATTTGGCTAAATACCTTGTAGCATCAACATTCTTTCAGACATCTTTTCTTCCAGTTGCCCATTCTCAGTCCCTGGATTATCCCAACAACCTGTCTCCATTTCCTTCACCAGGAGTGACCAAACAGATCCTGTGGGTCAAAGGATTGTTTACAAGTACCCACATACATCATGTTACACTGATAATTTATGGAATTATACAGGTGAGGGGAGCCTTTTCAGCTGCAAGGGTGTAGGGAAGAGAAAACCAATTCAGGCAAATCGCAAAATAAGTTTGTAATTTTCAGTGGGGAGAAAACAAAGGAACAAAAAACTAATAATTAGCTGGCGATTAAATTGAAGAATTGGGGTCTCAGGTATAATGGTTACATAGCAAGCTTAAGTTATTTTTCTTTGCAAAGTGAATAATTAAGCGAAATAACACTTAGCAAAAGGAAAAGGAAAATTAACGGAAATGATAGCTGCTGGCCAATTGCAGCCATGAAACTCAAAAGCACTAGCTTTCTGTTGAAAACTCCACCTCTATGTTGACTAGATACTGGAGTCACCTGTGATGGATGGGCCCAGGGGTGCCATCTCACCCTCGGGATTGTGGGTGCCCACTGCCACAATGCAGAAGTTGTGGTGGCCTGCAGTTCCTCTTCCTCCTTCCTATCCATAGCCAGCAAGGCACCCTTTTCCATGGGAGGGGCTCAGACTCAGAGGCAGAGAGACTCTGCCTCCACATCCGAGTCCCCCCCCCCCCGGGAAATGGTGCCTCGCTGGCTGGCTGCAGAGGGCAAAGCTGAACTTCTTTTCCCTCAGAGGTAGCACCACTGCTGCCTACCGGCTTTTCTTGTTGATTTTGTGGGTGCCCAGCCCCCACAATTATATTATTGTGGGTGCCCAAGCACCCACAACCTCCGAGAGTTGGCTCCTATGGATGGGCCAGCTGGAACTCTGAGGTCTCATGAAATACTTACTTCAAAATATTATAAATCCATTCTATTTAACAAGAACTAATAACCTTAGGAATTACTCCACCAACTAACAATAGATAGCATTGCTTCCAATGGCAAAATCAAGTCCAATTTTTTTATTTCACCCACCCTGCATTGCCTGTCATTCATAATCCCTCTTTAGGGGAGCCCTGGTGTCACAACTGTTGTTCAAGATCAGGTATGGGCTCATTTGCATGGCATAATTGCTTCTAGACAGAAGATAAAATTAAACCCATTTGTCTACCTTTGCATTTTGAAGCACTATTTCTTGATAGTTTATATGTAAATAGTATTCTTCTGATTGTAACATCTTGCGAGGAAGCAATTCAAATCACTTGATAATTGTTACTTTAAGTAATGCATTACATTGGAAATGTAATGGCTGTAAAGGGTATAGAATACATTAGGAGGCGATTGAGCTTAATTGCATTCCAGGGACTACTTCTTTTGGTGCCTGCAGCTGTTTTTTTTTTTTCCTCTGCAAGAGAAAAGCACAGGTCTTTGATGCATCTTTCAATTGTTGCTGAAAACAAGGTGCAACGCTCAGCCTCTTGCCACCACCAGATACTTCTCACTCTAGATAACAATGCAATCTGAATTAGTCCCCAACAGCAGTGTGCTGTTACAAAAGCTGTGTGCCACCCCCACATTCTGCAAGGTTCCAGGGGTCTCCAAACACTCACCCGGGGTCTGTGTTCCTTTGAAGGATTGAGACACGGCAGAGACTGTCATCGTTTTAAGAAATATGTTTTGTTCACCTATTTATGCCTTCAGTCTGCACGGAGGGAGTCCAGGTCTTACAGCATGGTCATTTCAAGAGGGGCAGTGCAGCTGTGGAGTCCAAGGCACCTCTCCCAGCTAGCCATCAGCCAAACTGGCTTCATCCAAATAATTATAAGAACTGTAATTTGTTAAAGGTTCCAAGAGTTTTTAAGATACTCCAATTCCCCTCACAAGGTTACAATTCTCAGAGTGGTTTAACAGTTATTCCCTCTTCCAAGGGAATTATGGGAATTGTAGCTCTGGAAGGGGAATAGGGGCAGTTTGTTCAGGGTGTCAAGAGTTGCTAGGGGATTCCTGTCCACATAGAGCTACAGTTGTGGAGAAAGGAGCCAGGAGACCAAGAGGTGTAAGGTGTTTGTGAAGCAATGCCATAGTGTAGATGTTTCAGTGTTGCCGTCAGGGAATGGTCTGAAGACGAGGACTGGGGAATGCATTCTGTGGCAGACCAGCTTCTCTCCGATGGAGAGCTGGAGGGGGAAGAGATGCCTCCCCTCCCTCTCCACAGCGTGTTCAGAAGCAGAGAGAGAGAGAGGAGCTGAACAGTTTAGGGAGGAGTTACCCAGTTAAGAGATAATGACAAGGGAGCCAGAAGGGAGGGGCAGCTAATTGAGACATCACTTGAGAGCATGGGGGTCCCCCCCTCACCATGGACTCGGAGGTCCAAACGTATCAGAGAGCAAAGGAGGCAGAAGGAGGGAGGAACTTCCCATTGATACCTTAATTGCTGCAGAAGTTGGAAGGAGGGTTTAGAGTAGCTAACTGCCTCCTTGCGTAGAGTTGTATATTTGTGCTTGCAACATGATCCTGTAATAAAAGGACTATAAATGTATTAAATGCTCATTACTTCTTATCTGTGAAGTTCCCAAAGGGAGAGGGGGAACTTTCACACTTGAAAGTTACCTATCAGAATTTTCATCTATTTAAAAGGGAAACTGCCAACTTCCAAGAAAAAGATTTAGTGACAGTGTACAACAAAAATACAATAAAAACCACTAAAACACCCTAAACTCAGAAAATACAGGGCCATGTGGCTGGTTATGAATATAATTGGTTCTCTAAAAATGCTTGTGCTCACTTTTCGGTGCTAGCAACTAAGCCCAGCTAGGACTAACATGGCAGCCCACGCTGGATAATCTCTCTAGATAAGGCAGTAGAGTTCTTCCATGGCTTGGTCACCTGATACAAGCCAATAGGGCACTCAAGAAAGAAGTGAAGGAAAGCAGCTGGTAAGGTAGTAGAGTATCAGCCTGTTCCGTTGCATTCCACTTGAAAGATCTGTTTAGCAGTTTGGGCCCCGCTGAAACTAGTGTTGTTCCTAGATGCTTATGTAGTGGCTGTTGCCAAGAGCAATTTTGTTCACCTTATGTTAGTGTGCCAACTATACCCATTTCTGAAGAGGGTAGACCTCAAGGATGGCTGAACTCCACTCTGCTTGGATTGCAAACCCATTGGACATAGGCCTTTCTCTAAGGCTTTCTCTAAGGCTGCAGATGATGCTGTGCATCTCACATCCTGCTGGGTAATTATGGACTTTATGGTCCAGTCTATGATTCCACAGAAGGAAATAGATTCTCTTTTCGCTGGCCACTTCCGGACTCTCAGGGGTCTTTCCTCCACCTGCCTTTTAAACTTCATCCTTCCCTTGTCCACTCTCCTCTTCCAACCCATAAGCGGAAGGGAGTAGCTATTATTGGTTTATTTATTGTCTGCATAAAATATTCTGTTTTTTAAAGTTTGATGTTCTATTATGTTTTTATATGCTGTAAGCAGCCCAGACTGGCTGGGCAAACCCAGCCAGATGGTCAGGATATAAGTAATAAAAGTATTATTAATTTTAAAAAATTGTCCAGTAGCACCTTAGAGACCGACTAAGTTTGTTCTGGGTATAAGCTTTCATGTGCATGCACACTTCTTCAGATACACACATCAGATGAAGAAGTGTGCATGCACACAAAAGCTTATACCCAGAACAAACTTAGTTGGTCTCTAAGGTGCTACTGGACAATTTTTTAATTTATTTTGACTGTGTCAGACCAACACGGCTACCTACCTGAATCTGAAAGTATTATTATTATTATTATTACTATTGAAGGAAGAAGCATGACCAGAAATAAAAAATACTTTGTTGAAAGAGGTGGAAGAGAAAACAAGTGGGGGGAGGGCATCCTTGAAGTCCTCTTGACATTTTGCGGACGTGCTCACAAAACTCCAATGGGCCCAGTGCATTTGACTGCCCTGAGATCTGAGGGTATACAAATTTAATAAATAATAATAATAATGTAGCTGAGAGGATAGGGGAACCTCCAACCTGCGGCCAATCTTGGCCCAGTAGGTGGTCAAAAATTTAGAATATACCATCTGCTTTGTACCTTCCTTGTCATCTGAAGAACTTGTAGCAGCATCCTTACTGATGTAAGTTGCAGTGTATATAATTTCCTACCTTTTTGCCTTCTGAAGTCCCAGATCTGTTTTGAAATGCATTGTGTCTTTGAAAGTCATCTCTGCTTTGAGTCCCAGTTTAATGTTTCCCCCCAAGGTTTTCTTTGAGTGTTTCGTAAATGCCCTTTACTGATAAAAGCAATGTCAAGGAGGGAGGGGGGAATCCTGTATCTTTAAGCCTGAACTTTGTACACTGGAAAATAATCAGTTCTTGATATTGAATTTCTACCTCATGTTTTTTTAAAGAAAATAGAGGACACAGGCAAGTACTAAGGAATAAGTGGAGAAGCCACAAATACATCATACACTTGTTTCATAGGATAACATCAGAACGCACCAAAAGGCTACAAAGTCTAATCCTGTGCCCCAAAGCATCCTCCACCACCATTATTCTGCCACAGGTCAGGTTGCAAGGAGATAGCAGGTGACTTGCAAAAGAGGTTCCCAGAACAACAATTACAGGTGAATCGTGCATGTATGGGAAACCCAGACTAAATTTACAGCTGCACGATCAGAATGAGGGGGGAATGTACTTTGCACATGCAGTTTGCACAAAACCCACCTAGAGACACACACACACCCATAGCTGTCAATGTTTCCCTTATTCCGAATAGGATTCCTCACAAGAAAAGGGGAAAGTTGACAGCTATGCCCCTCCCCCATGCATCTATATATAGATCGCTACTTGCTAGCAAGATCAGGGCAGATTTATTTAAATGGAAGAAAGAGGCACAAGTAACAACCCAGCCCAGATGAGAAGGTCAGGATCTCTGCCCTGACTCAGCTTGTTTGCTTTCCTTGTTTATTTGATTCCATTTATGAATCACTTCCCATACAACATATTTAAGCAATTGCACAATAAAACCTGAGCAGTAAAAACGGTTGCACAAGTTCATTTATAAAAAACAAATAGAACATTAAAAAAACAAAAAAAATGCTTTTATACATAAAACCATTCAAACATTTTCATATGTAAAAGCAGTTTTGAATACAAATGGCAATAGGAATGGTGCCTAATATGTAATCGGAGGGCATACTAAAGGCCCCATATGTATGGAATGGATCTCTGAGATGCAAATAGGATTTGACTGAGAACAGCAGGGGAAAGGACAGTGGAGTTTTGTTTTTTTGTTTCTTGCAGAAGCGAAGGCATGGAGTAACTATAATATGCAGCATGCGTTGAAATTTTGGGGAAATCATGGAGGGAGGGAGGGAGGGAGGGAGGGAGGGGAAATCCTAGGTTGACTGATTGATCATAAAATCTGAAATGTTGTTGCATTATTGTTTTTTTTAAAAAAAAATCTATAAAAAATTATTATTAATAATAGAAGGAATGGACCTCTGGTACGTTCAGGAGATGCTCTCTTTCCGGGTGCAGTGATCAACTGTGTGTATATGGGGTAAAGGTAAAGGTAAAAGAGCCCTGACAGTTAAGTCCAGTCATGAACGACTCTGGGGTTGCAGCGCTCATCTCGCTTTACTGGCCAAGGGAGCTGATGTTTGTCCACAGACAGTTTTTCCGGGTCATGTGGCCAGCATGACTAAGCCGCTTCTGGTGAAACCAGAGCAGCACACGGAAACGCCGTTTACCTTCCTGCTGGAGTGGTATCTATTTATCTACTTGCACTTTGACGTGCTTTCAAACTGCTAGGTTGGCAGGAGCTGGGACAGAGCAATGGGAGCTCACCCCATTGCAGGGATTTGAACCGCCAACCTTTAACCTAACCCAAGGATGCTATTGCTTCATTCTGTCTTTGATGTGCCACAATGGCTTGTTTTCTGAGCCCACCGTGGCACAACTTGGCTGCCAGTATTGTGTGCAGCTTCTGTGCTGTAGGCAACCTTCGGAGTTACACCCACCTGGAAATCAACACAGCTATGATATTTTTTGCATTTTCATCTGCGCTTTGACTTTGCTGCACCGAGTAATTCACACCACTCTGCTTGTCAATAGCCTCACAAAGGAATGGGAAGAGATTGATTTGTAGTCATTCATTGCCAATTTTTCACAAATTAAATGTTTAAAGTAAATGGAATTTCCATTTGCAGCAATTTACATGCATGCATATGCACTTCTTCGGAGCCTCGCTATCTCATTCCCTGCAAAGCGAGGGTGGAAATTACACCTTCTGCCGAGCCTCCTCTATCATCTATGACATCTGATTCGGCATCATGTGAAATTAGAGTAGAATGTCAAAAGGCATTTTGTTGATAGGTAAGGAAGAGATTTAGAAGCGCAGCTAGCAGCAATCCCATAAGAATGCTTGCCCCAAATAATCCAGCTATGTGCTGCTGGCCTGATACTGTGCATTGCCCTGGAGGGAAACAACAACAGCTAATAGCGGTGGGAATGAATTCCTAGCATTAAAACCGATTATGTTCTATTTCAAGCGCAGATAATTCTTTTCTGCTGCCGAAGACATATGTTGATCGGCAGTATAAAGAAATGGTTTGTCATAGGCTTGCCAGAGGGGCCAGGGAGACTGTACATTAGGAGCCACTTAGATGCTTGGAAGTTCAAGGCAGTTGAACACAGGAGCCATTAGTGCCCAAGTATAATGGAAGGTGATAGATAGACCTTCCTTCTCCCCTCTCTCAACCACATACAGAGGAAACTACAACCTACAGGCCTTCAGGAACAGAAGCTGAGCAAGAAGTGGGTGTGAAGAAGCTGGGCAGCTCTAGTGCCAGCTATGACGGGGAGCACAGGGGGAAGTTCCTAAGCATACATACACCTCTCCATTCTCCATCCATGCAAGCAAAAGGCACATTCAAAGACCCATTCCATGCAGGCAAAAATACTTAAGGAGGGTGTGAAGCAGGGTTGGTGGGAGGTGTGGCCTGGGTAGGGTCCTGTGAACCATACAGAAAGACCTGGAGGGCTGCATGCAACCTCTAGGCTTGAGATCCCCCCCCCCAAAAAACCAATGGTTTTGGAGACTGTGAGAACATCTATAAGGTTAGAAGGGTGTCATGGACTGGCTGGATGTAGAGGAACGGTGGAAGGCACTGGCTAGTGAATCCCCAAGCAAACCCCCAGGGGAAGAAGGCGCAGAGCCAGGGGATTGGTGGTGGGAGGACAAATGAGTGGTCAGAGGGAGAAGGAGGAGAAGACTGGGAGGAGGAGATGTCAGAAGCTGGAGAGGTAGCAGGGTTTAGTGAGCAGGAAATGGCTGTGGCAGATAGAGGTTCAGACTCTGAGGCTGAAGCAGAGGCTGGAGAATAGGTTGGCCATGTGGGAAATGATCCATAATGAATTGAAAAAACTGTTTCAAAGTACTTCCCCCCCAAAAAACCCAGAGTCCTTTCTGTTGGGGATGATTCAGGCTGAAATTCCCAGGTGTAAAAAAAGGTTATCTATGTATGTGACTACTGCGGCCCGTGTTTTGTTAGCCCCAAAATGGAAAGCAAGCGAGGTCCCAACTAAAGAAGAATGGCAACTTAAGCTGACAGAATATGCGCAGCTTGCAGACCTAACATACCGAATAAGAGAAGAAGAACATACGTTTAGAGAAAATTGGAAGATTGTAAAATGTTTATTGAATATATGGGGGAAATTGTGTACAGTTGAAAATGTTGGCAGCGTTAAGACTAATTCAACCATGTAAATAAGTTTTGATGGATATAATAATGGAATACTGAATGGTTTAGTTTATGTAAAATATGCAGGGATTTAAAATATGCAAAATGAACCATGGAAAAAGAAGAAGGGAAGTCATTTATATTTTAAGGATGTTTAAATGAGTATTTTAAATTGTAAAACAGAAAATATAATGAGAGAGAGAGAGTAGGAGAGTAGGTTGGCCATGAGGCAGAGTTAAGACAAGCTGCTGAAGAATCCAAGAAGGCTTCCTTCCCCCCCCCCATCCTGCAACAAACTGCCCTTCCCCTGGTCTCCTACAACATGCAAATAAATGAAAAGAGCAGAGCAGAGATTGGTTGTGCACAAATGCAGTTTGCAACTGCTTGGAAAAGACCCTGAAGAGGTAGAAAAGCAGGGACCTTCAGTCCTCACAACTGCCTCACTGAAGCAAGACCACTGGGAAGAGTTAAAGTGGTACCTCGGGTTACATACGCTTCAGGTTACAGACTCCGCTAACCCAGAAATGGTACCTCGGGTTAAGAACTTTGCTTCAGGATGAGAACAGAAATCGTGCTCCGGTGACGCAGCAGCAGCAGGAGGCCCCATTAGCTAAAGTGGAGCTTCAGGTTAAGAACAGTTTCAGGTTAAGTACGGACCTCCAGAATGAATTAAGTACTTAACCCGAGGTACCACTGTACTGGAATTGCTAGTCTTGCACTGTTTCGGTTTCTTTGAATAAAGAGCTCACTCTCACCCCTCCCATCTTTCCTGTCCTCTGAAATAAAAACCTAAAAGCCAAGATATAATGCAAGGTCGGATACAGATAGCTATCAGCTTTGACCGTGAGACATTGCCACAAAATAGACAAAAAGAATATGATGAAATTTTCCAGGGGAGTGAGAAATTAAAAGCTAGAGCTGAAATGAGCCAAGAAATTGTATGAGGTTTTCCTGTTACTTACTCTCTCTAGAAAAGAAGGCCT